TTATTTAGAGTAGCACCTCAAACCCTCAGACACAGTATTATACTCAAGAAGGTACATGGAGACACCCAAGAAACCCAAACGGTAAAACCTGCAAGCTTGACAAGCATGGTAGTGCATGCCCACCACTCAGGCAGGTAGATCTCTGAGTTTAAAGCCAGCCTGGTCTACAGAGTAAGTTCTAGGACAGCCAGGGATACACATCGAAACTCTTGTCTCGAATAAATAAAGGATCAGCAATCTTAGCCAAGCACTGTGACACAAGCCTTTAATCCCAGTACTCAGGAGGTGGAGGCATTTGGACCTTTTTGAGTTCAAGACCAGGCACAGTTACATAGTTAGACCCTATCTTAAGAAAGAAAACATATTTAAGTGAAAACACAACCCTGTAACAGAAGGTATCAAAGCACCATTGGTGTTGAAAGGACAAAATAGTTGGACATGGTGTCTCATGTCTGTAATCACAGCACCTGAGAGGTGGAGGCAGGACTATCAGTTCAAGGCCAGTTTCAGCTACACAGAGAGTGCAAGCCTAGCCTGAGACTATCACAAAAGAGACAGATGGGAAGAAAAAAATTGAATAACTGGAATTGGTAGATCAGCATGAGCTTAGAGAATTTGCTTACAGATTCTGGAGGGAAAGGTCATGAATTTGGTGAAAAGCAGATAGGACACGGCTAGTGACAGAACAGAACAGTACTATAGTCAGGAAGTAACACGCAAGTCCTCGGCATCTCTCCTAGTTTACTTTGTCCCACAAGTATGAATCAGAGTAGCCAGCAAGAATGATTCTGCAGACACGGCAAGACGGCTCAGTGAATAAAGGCACTTGCCACCAAACATGACAACCTGAGTTTAATCCTTAGAATCCACACAGTGAATGGAAAGGATTGACTCCTGAAGTTGGTGTCTGATCTTCATGTGCATGCTGTAGCACATGTGTGCCTGTACACACAAACAAATGCAATACAAATTTTTTGAAAAAGAATTTTTATACTTCTCTTCCCCCAAGAAAAGGGACCATGCTATAAAAATGAACAATTATCACAAATCAGATGTGGTATGGTGGTACACGCCTTTAACACCAGCAATTGGGAGGCAAAAGAAAGCAGATCTCTGTGAATTCAAGGCCAGCCTAGTCTACATAGAGTGTTCCAGGACAGCCAGGGCTATGTAGAGACACTGTCTCAACCCCCATTGTCCCCCCCAAAAAACCAATTATCACAAATCAATAAAATACAAGGCTCTTGTCAGCATGGTAGTGAATGCCTATAATCCCCCACTGGGAAAAGAGAGGTAGGAGGATCCGGAATTCAGGGTCATATATCTGGCCACTTAATGAGTTTGAGGCCAGCCTGGCCAACATGAGACTCTATCTCAAAAAAACAAACATCACAGAACAGCAACAAAACAAGTTGTAGCCCAGGTTGGGCAAAATAATGAGTTCAAGGAGGCCAGCCTGGCTAAATACCAAGACATAAGTCTCAAAAAGAAAAAAAAAAGCACCTTTAAAACAAACAGAACTATACCAATAGTTACTTTAAACAGTTTCAAAACATCTATATGGATATAAAATTCTAAATTAGGATAGCGCCCTGTGTTTCCACAGCGAAACTTTTCAAGGCAGGAGATACTTACATTAGGCTATTGAGCCAATACTGTCTGAAGTGTGTATTTACATCTTCTGCAATTCCCTACCACCTGAGCACTTCAAACTCAGCCAATATCTTCAAACAGAGGTTATCAATAGGCTACCAGTAGGCACAGTTTGCTCTTGAAAAAAACAAAACAAAACAAAAACCACATTCTCTATGCTGTTTTCTTATCAGTCATCACCAAACTGCAGAGCTGAGCAGTCATTTCAAAGATTATTAAATATTTACTACTTAATCCTATGCAGTAAGAAGTTCAACTACTCCTTTCCTGGGATAATTTAGAACTAACAACTGTGCACTATGGCATATCCCTATGACTCCAGTAACAAGAGGCTGAGGCAGGAAAATCATGGCCTTCAAAGCCAATTTGGGCAATACAGAAAGACCCCACCTCACAGGACCAAACAAAAACAATGCAACAAATTTATGACCAAGAATGTTTACCTTGGGATGAGACATTACTGAATGTGGTAAAAGTCAGTGAGACCTTTCCCCAAATGGCCAGGTACAAACCTAACTGAAAACAAACCTATACTAATGAATCTCAAAATCTCATCGCCAATCTTGACTAAAAATTAAGCTTAAAAGCTAACAGTGAACTGTTTACTATTTTAAAAATCACTACTCTGTCAAGTGTAGTGGCTCACATCTTTAAAATCCCAGCACTCAGGAGGAAGAGAGACACAGACCTCTGTGAGTTCAAGCCAGACTTTTGTTCTAGAACTCAAATAGGTTATTTTCTTCATCAAAGTTTGTTTTCAGTTTGTTATACAACATTCAGAATGACAAAGTAAATGGAGAACCCAAAATTGGTCCTGGAATATCTTTTTTCTATTCTTACTATACTAAAAATCCAGAGCTAGTCACAGTGGTGCTTGTCTGTAGTCCAGCATGGAAGAAATACTTGAGGCCCTGGAGTTCACAACTAACTGACCTACAAAGTGAAAAACCCTGTCTCAACAACAATAACAATTCTTTAAACCCCAAAGCTTACTGATTTACTTACTTACAATTTTTTAAACCCCAAAGTATACTAAGCATATAAAAGAATTTTAGTCAAAATAAGTTCTGGTTATTTATTTGCCATTCTTAAGAAATTATTACATAAGCAATGAAAACTACCTTGAATAAGTATTGTAGGTATCAGTGAAACAATTCTTGCTTGGTTTTAACTTTAGCTACACCCTTTTATAACTGATTATGCCATTATAGCAAATTGTGACTTAGCAATACAATATTAAGTGATGAAATATAGGGCTAATATTTTATTTACTATAAAAATTATACTTAGTGTGGCAGTGGTGACACAACTTTAATGCCAGCACTTGGGAGACAGAGGCAAGGCAAATCTCTGAGTTCAAGGCCAGCCTGATCTACAGAGTGAGTTCCTGGATAGTCAGGGCTACATAAAGAAATCCTGTCTCCAAAAACCTAATAAATAAACATTATACTTAATTTTTTAAATATATCAAATAATCTGAGGTTATATTTTTACAGAGTTTTAACAAAACTGAGGATAAAACTAATACCAAAGTTAATGAATAATTTATTTACCATTTAAGATTATTCTTCAGCTCAACTCTTGAAGAGCATCTTGGAAGATGATGTATCTACAGTATGTTCCTACTCCTAAGTGCTTAAACAAAGATGTATCAATAGCCTGGTACCTTTGACAATATGAATGTGGTCACAGGCTATAAGCTCACGCTAACAGAAGCTTAAATAAGCATTTAACAGGGCTAACATGGTGCCAAAACAATCACAACACAAATAAGTGATTTTCTAATTACATATCCACACCATTTCCCCCTTGGATGTAGCTCTCGGTTATTTTAGATTAGAGAACACTGAAAAATAATAGTTTAAAGTACAATCAAGTGACAATCATTTTACCAGAGATCACATGATTTACAAAGAACTCCTATTTTCTGCTTTTTAAAAGTCAGGCCTTGATCCTCTTTCTCACCTGCTGGTACTGGAAAGACAAAAAGTTCTAAAGACCTTTCAAACCTAAATACTTTTCCCACGGATCGGTTTTCTCATGAAGTTGATGTATGTCAGCTTCCAATTTATGTGAGCAAGAGAGGCAAATTAAGACTCAGAAGCACAGGGGCCTGATCTCTGGAAGGCGTTCACATGAAAGAAAAAAAAAAAAAAAAGAAAAGAAAACCCCGCCCAGCCCTCTACTTTCTCTGCTTTTCCAGACAGGGTTTTCTCTTTGCAAAACCCAGAAATGCAGAAGTTCCTCTGATTGACTGCCTCTACCCGAGGCCTGGTACAAAACAGACCGCTAGATACCCAAATACCCCCTCTTAAGGGAATTATAAGACTCAAGCCCGCTCAGAAACAGCAGAACGACTTGCTTTCTTGGGTTAAAGGAGGGCGATTACAGGGTTTGGCGGCAGGATTTGTCAAGCAGCGGAGGGCCAAGCAAGCGAGAGAAGCCAGAGACTAAGCTCCATCCAGTCCCAGGAACCGCCCCCCTGGGAGGCTAGACTGCCCTAGGTACTTCCCAGCCACCTCCACTCGGGAGTAGCAGAGCCGGGTCGGGCTCCTCCAGGTGGCTTCCGGGTCCGCTGGGACTCCAGCCGACACTCGGCCCGCCCCCGGCCGGGCTCTCGGCCCTTAGCCCCGTCTCCGCCCCGCTCAGTGACCCCCCCCCACCCCCGTCCCCTCCCATCTAATATGGCCGCCCCGCCCGCCCCACCCCCGGCACAGCCTAACTTACTGGAGGCCCGCGGCACCGCCTCCCTGCGCCCATTGGCGCAAGGGCCTCCGCTCGCCTCCTCCATTGGACAGCATCGGCCGCCACTCGCTTGCGAGGGCTCCGCCTCCGGGCCGTTCAAGCTGCTTAGAGAGGACATATAAACAAATCCCGAGAGGGAGGCCCCCGTCGCCCGCCGCCTCCTGGGAGGGGCCGGTGTGTGGGGGGGAGCAGTGGCCCTACGACGCCCCTGACCGGAGTTCGCCTGGCCCGCGCCTCTGCCCCTAGCCCTCCGAGCGCTAGCCGTGCCGGCCTCCCTCACACGCCCCTCTCCTCCCCTCCTTCCCGGCCCCTCCCACCCGCTCGCCGCTCTGACAGGCCGGTTGCCGGCAGCCGCGGCCCCCCGCTCCGGGGAGCGCAAAGGGCCGGACCCTGGAGGGGACGGGCGCCCGTCCCCGCGCCCGCCTTTTATGTAACCGTCGGCCGCGGAAGCAGCCTGGCCCAGCTCGCACCGGCGGCCCCGCTCCGCGCGCTCTCGGCCCGGCGGCCCCCGCCCCGCTCGGCCGGAGCCAGGCCCCCGCGCCCCACGCCCGTAGCCCTCCGTCGCCGCACCCCGCCCTCCCGTGCGGACGCTCGGCACTCACCTGAGGCTGAGGGTGGCTCAGGCGCTGGGTTCGGCCGCGCTACCGCAGCCGCGGCCCCTCTCCATGCTGCCTCGGGTTTGTTTTGTTTATGTCCTTCCTGACGGGTTCCCGGAAATCGCGTGACTCGCCCCCCTCACGTGGGCCGCGGCGAGGAGGAGGAGGGAGGCGGGGGCCCGCCGCCCGGGGCCAATCGCGAGGCGCCCTGAGACCCGGCCAATCAGAGGCTCGGTCCGGCCGGCGCCGTGTCACGTGGTGCCAGAGGGGCGGGTTGCCGGGGAAAACCAGGAAGAGAGGGCGGAGCGGGGGCTCCTGAGACTGCTGCTGAGCGTGGGCGTGGGCCGCCGGGAATGGCGAGCTGCAAGCTCGCGTTCGTGCATGATGTTCTTTTCAGGGGCTTCCATATTCAGCCTGTAGGCTCAGAACTAAGATGAGGCCCGAGGTGTCCGAATGCTCACTTTACAGTTTAACTGAACCACGGGGGACTAAAGGAATACTAGTTAGTAAGTGGCTGCATCAATATTCTGTTTCGTAAATGACATCCCAGTTCCCCGATAGAATTGGCCTTATTCGTCAACTTATATTTATTAAATCTGAATCCCCAGGCCCTGGATCAGCTGCCTGCACCTTTGAGATAGGATCTGTATTCAGCTGTACAAACTGCTACTAGATGCTCTCCAGACAAGCCTGTCTAACCCGTGATCCTTCCTGTGATTTGCTTAGGACTCTTAATCCTGTTGATAGTTTGTTGGATTTGTAGTATGTGGTTGGTTCATTATCTCAAATAGTTCTCCTAACAGATACATTGCAATAAGAGAACCATTTTTCAAAAGGGAAAAAAAAAAATCTCAGAGGAATTAATTGTTCGAGGAAATAACGTACCTAGTTATCACAGCCTGTGTTTCCAGAATTCTCTTTATACTCAGGATTCTCCTGCCTTAGTCTTCTGAGTGTGGGGTTACAGGTCTGCACCAGCACACACATATGAACACAGAAAACGTATTTTCTTAAGTGCAGGAAAGAAGATTAAAGGACAGAAAAACTTCAACAGATTCCCTCCGAATATCAGTACCCTTGGGAGTACCCTCCATTGAAAACGTGGCTTCAGAGCTGGGGATAGTGGTTGACCCTTTTGATGCCACCACTCAGGAGGTAGAGGCAGGAGGATGTGGAGTTTATTCTTAGCTACACTGAGTTGCAGGACTGCTTCATAAGACCAGGCCTCAACCCATCCTTACAACCTCTTAAAAATAGAACCCTGGCCCCCAACACAAACGCATTAGATCCAGGCAAGTACCAAATGTCACAATCATGGACTAGGATGAGATGTGGTGACACACGTCTGTGACTCCAGCACTGGGAAGCCTGGGGCAGGTGGATCTTCAAGGCAAGCCTGAGCTACATTGTGATAGGCTCCCTGTTTCAGTAACAAGCAACCATGAACTTGGGAATGAATAAGATTTGCTTAGATCATGAGCCTGAAGGAGGTTGAGTGGGACTAGCAATGTCACCACTCATCCTCTGCCCTCCATGCCAGACATATAGCCAGTCACTATGTTACTTAGTAACAACCTGAATCCTTGTTTCACCACGTGTGAACCAGAACAAATTATCTAAACTTGATGAATCTAAATTTCTACCTTTGTAAAAATGGAATTGGTGTGAGAACTGAGTGAAATAATTCACATAGGGTTGGTAAAATGGCTTAGTGAGTAAAGCACATGTCACACAAATGTGAGGACCTGAATTTGAATGCCAAGAATGTAAAAGCTGGGTGTGTATCAGGGACATCTGTAATCCCAGCACTCCTGCAGGGAGATGGGAGTCTGAGACAGAAGAATCCCAAGAAACTCACGGGCAAGCCAGCCTGGCACACACAGTGACAGTGAGACCATATCTCAAACAGGGTGGAAAGCATGTATGGACATCCAAGGCTGGACACCATGACAAATGTGCATGCCCACATTCACACACGAGTGCAAGCATGCATACACACACATTGTATACCCACATGCAATAAAATAAAATACATACAATAAAATAAAAAGATTGTTTAAAAAATGAGTCATATATAGCACTTACCAGAGTGCTTGGCATATAGTTAGCACATGATGAACAGTAGTAGTATTAGACTATCTCAAGAGCATCATTTAGAAGACCAGCTCTAGACTAAACAGCAAGTAAGGATAACTCTAGACAACTCAGCAATTTAACGGCCACTAGACCAGGCCAACCTTAAACTTGTGGCAATCCTGCCTCTGCCTCCTGAGTACATGCATTACAAGAATAAACCACCATATACCACCATATTAGGCTAAAGCAATTTTTGGAGCCCAGATTAATAGGTAACTGTAGATGCATAGGAAGAAAGTAAAGCAGTAGATCTCTCCCCTAGAATCCAAGCACACAGTAGGACCCCAATACCCAATGATTCGACGAATATTTACTACATGGGAACTAAACAGATTATAATTATCTTTTTAAGTCTGACAAACTTTCCCCATTAGGTGGAATAGAAAATTGAAAAGCAAATAGAAAAAAATTGGCTTGAGAAGTTGGAGCCACATCCCTGGACTGACTTATGTGATGTTCATACTTTAAATTTCCAGAAGTTTCCCCCTTGCTTATCCTCTCAGAGTGCCATATTTGAAAGCTTTCCAGCAGATGGATAGCCCCTCTGTTATTATACTACCTTTCAGACATAGGCTTCGAGGCATAGCTACCAGGCAGCAGACTCATATCCTATCACAAGGCTCTGCCATTAGTGGCACCTGCTGGTAAGTTACCCTGTTGTGCAGCCTTTGTGTTTTCTGTTGTCTAGGAAGGGACAGAGTTTCGTCCAGTGGAGACTTTCCATCAAGGTCTGTTACTGACTGTATCCTGCTCTGAACTGAATGAAATCACAGGCTCCTGATTGATCTGGGTTTCTTTGGGCTTTCTACAGCCGGATTCTACCACACAGTTGGCAGAAAGACTCAGGGATAGTGCTGGCTTGAGGGTTGGGAGGCTTTTATTCTAGCCACGAAGTGGTGGCCAGCTGGCATTACCCCTTCCAAAAGTGTGTAACAATGCTCCTCAGAAAAACTCATGTAGTAAAACAGCCTGAATCAGAAAAACAAGACTTTACACAAAGATGAGACAATGATACAAAGTAAGAGATACAGAGGATGTCACTAAATTCCTCAAAGTAATTTATTGTTCAATAGGTAGCATTCAGATATGGTATAACATTCAAAAGCTCCAAAAGATCCAGGCATGGTTGCTTGTGCCTCTTTGCCAGTAAGTCAGTCTGGGCTACATTGTGAGTATGTACCTTGTCTCAAAAAATGAAAGTACAAAAGTGTTTCTGGTGACTGTGAAGTCATTGGGCTCTGTGGAGACTTCCCAGGTGTTCCCGGTATACACAGACATCTCTCTCACTTTAAACTTGAATGTGCAGAGGGCTGAAGCAAGTGAGGTGCTTGACTCCAGGGCTTTGAGGCCAGCCTGGGGAACACAGGGTGTCCCTCTTTCAAAAATAAAATGATTCAGGGAATGGAGGTGCACACCTTTAATCCTAGCACTCAGGAGAAAGAGGCAGGTGGATCTATGTGAGTTCCAGGCCAGCCAGGGGCTACACAGTGAGATACTGTCTCAAAAACAAACTAACAAACTAACTTTGGCCAAGACCCTAATTTGAGCTATGATATCCAAGGTGACCAGGGTTCTAGATTGTTCCCCATAATAAATTTAGACATAGCAGATCATGCTTTATGATCCTGTGTGCTCTAGCAGAGTGCCCAGCCATGCATAGCTGTGCTGGCAAGAGCAACTGAAAATTCGGATGACGTGAAAAACACAGAAATTGTTTTTAAGAAAAGTTGTCAAAAGCTTTGCATTTTCTTACTATTTTGTTTGTTTGGAGACAGGGTCTTATGTGGCTAAGCCTGGCCTTGGACTCCTGATCCGCCTGCCTTTGCATCCCAAGTGCTGGGATTACAGATGGGCAAACCCACACCCAGCCCTACATTGCCTTATGACCTAAAGATTGCACTGTGTGAATCCTCATTAGAGCAGACTGGGTCCTGCTTGCTGATTCTGCACACATCTTTTTAAGTGTCAACCTTTTGGGACTAAGTGCTTTTTCTCTGGACAACTCGAGACTGTGGGATACAGTCAGGAGTCGTGGCTTCAAAAGTGAGAATAATTAACTCGAAGCTGGAAAATCTCCAGGAAAAGCTGTGTCCCTCTGACACTCGGCACTGACTTTTTCCTGAGAAGATGACAGTATTGCTGAGAGGTGTAAAATAGACTCATTGATGCTGGCAATTGGATCTCATCCCTCATTCATCTCATCTAAAAAGCATTCTTTGGGTTGGGGGGAGATGTTATTCTCACTGTGATCTCTCAACTGGACAGTGTCCTTATGTGATAGCTCTGAGCCTCAGTTTCTTATTTTTCCCTGAATACACCAAGTTCAGCCCCCAAATACCCCATTATTTATCTATCCTGATTTCCCAGCCTACCCCATACTCAGTACCAGGCCTGCCATGATATAGGGCAGATGGATCTGCCTATGAGCAGATTAAGATTGTGGATCTGATGAGCAGATTAAGATCTAAACCCTATCCCATCTTCCAAGGTTCAAGACCCCTTTCTCCTCTGTGCAGCCTACTCCCCCCCCCCCCCCACAACACACTCCTCTCTGTTCCTCCATTATCCATCTAAGCAGGCAAGTACTTAACTGCCTTGGATTGTTGGTGTCACTTCTTCAGTGACTCAAGTAGGCATACATGCTAGCATGCCGCCAAGGTACACGTCCAAGCCTATCTTTATTGACAAACGAGGGAAAGGAGAGAAGTAGATGTTTGGAAAGTGCTGAATGTATACACATGCGACACTGTCCTCGCCCTGAAGGACCTCAGAACCTACTAAGGGAGAATGAGAGAATTCATGAGAAGGGACCCTCATACTGATTTGAAGAGCAGAACACAGCCCTCAATGTTAGCTTCCTTGGGCAAATTGCTAACACATCTGATACTCCATCCCTCTTCTCCCTGGCCTCACAGGTTGACCTTAAGGTCCGAATGAAGGACTCTGGTGCATAAGAGGGTCTCTCATCTCTGCCTCTCCGGGAGGAATGCGACTCGAAACTTCTTAGACGAGAGCGAGTAGAAAAGAAAAATGTCTCCTGGCAGAGAGGCAGTGGCAGGCAGCTGGGATTGTTCTCTTATCTTCCAATGCAGCATTCTTGTCAAAATTGTTTCATCTCTTCTGCTGACTGAACACTTCTGGGACAATGAATTGGGTTTTTTAATTTTGTTTTATCAGTGCTGAGCTGAACATACAATGTTCGGATCAGTGGCTGCAAGTGATAGCAAATCAGGAGGCCAGGGAGTGAGAACAGTCTAGCGTTTGTTGTAGAGAGACTCCCTACACACAGGTATAATAAGACTTCTGTTGGTGAGGCCAGAGTGGGAGGATGAAAGCCGAAAGCAAAGGGAGA